TGCATAGTATGATTCCTAAAATTGTATATTTTAAACTCAGATTTTGATGATAATGAAATTGTGGATGTTGATCCTTGGTCGATTAGTTATTAGTTCTATATTTGTCAATGTAAGTTCTAATTGCCACGTGTTTTTAAATGAATTGTGAAGTAATGACATTTTTAAACAAAAAATTGAACCAAAAAAAAATCAGGTAAATTGGCTCAATAGTTAAAAAAAATCTTGCATTCAAAAAATAAAGATCAAATTTTAAAAAAAATTAAAAATATAATTGATTCACGTTAATATATAAAGGATTATCATTGATATCAAAGGATTTATTATTAAAAATTTAAAAATTTATAAAAAATTTATCATTAATATGCAACAGTATATCATTATCAAGTATAATAAACCGACTATGATGTAAAATATAATAAATATTGAGTTGTTTGTTTAATTTAATCCTAGCAAAAATCTCAAAAACGTCATGCATTTTCAAAAGTTGGTTTAATATGTTCAATTTCAAGAAAATGCCAGCACCAATTATTTTTATTTTTAACATAATAAAATGCATGATTGTTTAACAGCTTACTTTCCGCAAGACTATTTTCCAATATGTTATGTTAATTGATACATATTGCACCAATATATATGTATATATATATTTAATTGGTAAATTTCGTCCATAAACATTTTAAACCCCACAAAGATCGGATTTATGCAACAAGAAAAATCTGCGAGAGGACCAGATGGCTGAGAAGTACTTTCTACTTCGTCAACGATACAAAGAAACTGAATTTTTAAAAAGGAAAAAAGGGGGGGAAAAGTAACAAAAACATGCACCATGAAAACTAGAATTATATATATATATATATATATATCGTTATCTACAGATAGAGGGTCCTTCTGAATATAAATTTTCTTAAATTTTTTCTGTCCTAAATATTCCCAGCCCCTTGAATTTTTTTTTTTTGTCCCCGACGGTACTTTGCTGTTTTTTTAACGGATTTTTTTTTTAGGGTTCACGACATTTTTCGTTAACTACAAATAAATGTCCTCTTCCGGCGTATAAAAGCATATGCTTTATTCTTTTTCTTTGTTTTTTCCTCTCCGTTGCTTGTATTTGCGTATCTTGTAAAAAAAGGTGAGATTAAATTTTTAAGCTGTGTAAGGTGTACACGCTTGAGTGGTCCTCCTTTGAATTTGTGAGGCATGCTAGAGAAATTGTGTACTCAAATGAGCATCAGTGATGGTGAATTCTTAAAATTCTTTACCATAATTTTTGTAGAGCGTCGAAGCGAATTAGAATTAGAATACATAAGTGTGCATATGAAAATGACAGTGCATTTCTACAAAAGTAATCACATAGAACATATTAATATCTAGTCAAGTTCGTGTAAAACATCAAATTGACGTCAACCTTATAATTTGATAGGAGGATTTTTGTTAAAAATGACTCCCTACATTTCTTAATTATAAATTATCATTAACTAATTTGTACAAATAACGAAAATTAATTAATTAAAATTAGTTAATGTTCTTAAAATTACTCCACCTTTCCAAAAATATCATGATTAAATGCAATTGTTCTAACCCCATCTTACTCATCTTGCTCAATCACTCTATCCACCACGACTTCTCAACAATATATGTGTGTATATTCCAAGGGCACTATTGAAAACCATAATATATTATTATTTGGCAGGTTAAGGAGTATTTTTTTCTCTACTTTCCTTCAAGAATTGTCAGGTACGCGGTACTAATAAATAAAATATTTTTTTAAATCATTTTTTTAGAAATGCAAAAAACCCTTCTACTAGTGACCCTCTAATTGAAGGGAATTTTTGCTTAATTGTAAAAATAATTTGGAAAAAAAATGCTCCCCTTATTAATACAAAATGCCTAGTATTCTTCAAAGAAAAGTGTAAAAAAAAAATACATTTTAATCCTTATTATTTTGTAAATTTTACAAAATGATTTATACCTATAAATATGAAAAGCTCCTAAAAGAGACTTGTAAATATTTTAAAAAAAGTGCAAACAATATTATTAATTTATATAAAACCCCCTACATGAATGTGAACAATTCTTGAAATGCATGACCCAATCGCTCCCCCCCCCCAACCTTTGAAAATGATGAAATTTGGGGTAACAAAATCTTCAAAAAGATACAAATATAGAAAAGTTTCGTAATATTACCATTGAATTTTGGGCATGTGTTACTTGTCGTTTTTGTAGAAAATCTTGATGCCCACTTAATCGATTCATATGTAAAGTGCCAATCATCATGCTCTGGCATCCTTTGATATATATTTTGGATTGAAGAGTATTTTTATCTCTCATCTCAGTCACTCCTTTTATTTTAAATTATAAAATAATTTTTTTAAAAAAATTATTGTCTCAAAATAAGACAATTTAATAAAAATAATATTTTATTAATAATATTTTTGTAATATCTTTTAAACAAAGAAAAAATTAAAATAATATTGTAACATATTATTAAATATGTAAGAATATTTTTAAAATTTTATATTTTTTAAAAAAATAAATTTATAAAGTGTTATTACTGTGTTTTATTATTATGCAGAATCTTCTCTGAAATTATCTTATATAAGTTGAAATAGAGGAAATATTAAACAAGAAAGTATGGCATCTTAATTTTTTTTTCTGCAGTGCAATATTTTTTATCATTAAAAATATTAATTTTAATTATTAGTTGATAAAAAATATAAAAAAATCTCAATAATTATAAAAAAAACAACACTGATTATGTCTTTTAAATTGTAAATAAATATTATAAGACATATTATTTCTTTCCCATGCAAATGGGAAAATACCACTTTGACTAGCTACTAGGTAATTATTGAATCACCATTGTTACCAACAACATAAGTAATTAAGTAAAAAAATTATTTTTTGATATTATCCTATTACAATATTTATAGATTAATATTTAATATTTTGATTATTATTTATAAATATTTAGCAAAAATTTATAAATTATCTTTTAACAATTTAAAACTCAATTAATATATTTGAGATTTACAAATGAATGTGTTTTTAGTTAAGTTATAAATTAAAGGAAGTTAGTCTACTAATATTGTTGTCCAGACAATTTCCAATTTAAACATGATTGCGATCCATCTTACCATCTTATGTTGGTTTGGTGTGTTGCAAAATTTGAAATTAATTAATCATACTTTCCATAGCACGCGTAAATTATAATTTATTATGGTTGATTAAAGCAATATAATTACATTAATGTTATGATAGTACAAAATAACTACTCATAAGACATGAAAAGTAGCTCAAATGCAAGAAACAACTTGTCTGAGTTGCAAGTAGTCCATGCTAATATCGATATAAAATATAAAATTTATTTACTTTGCATTATGTATAACTCATAAATAATATTTGCATCTTTTAATGCATAAATAACATAATTTTTATGAAATGTTTAAATAAGATTTCAATATTCAAAACCAATTTATTATTTATAAAAAATAATTGGGAGTGATGAACTTGTAGTTATCATTATTCAAAAAAAAAAATTGTTAAATGTTAATCGTTATATAGATTTTGTCATTGAGCTACAGTGTAATTCCAAATCATAGGCAATATATATAGTAATTTAATAAGAAAATTAATGCCAGAAAAGGACTTAAAGAGAGAGTGTAATCAGTGAGCTCATTTTGTGTAATATCAATGCCCTATTTTACTCCTCCTCGTGTATCATTCTCTCTAATCTCTTTTCTGCCAAAAAGAAGACAATTATAGTGCGTGCTGAAAACATAGCAATATGTAGTTTAAAAAATGATGCCAAAGTTGAAAACCGTAACGCATGCACACACGCACACGCTATCTCAAATAGTTACAAGAGGCCTCCAAAACCGAACTGAACTAGTGAGAAGCAATTGGAAAGGATATATTCTAGAAAATTATTCTGAAAAAACTTTGGCTTTACCACTCTGGAATTAGAGCTGCACGAAAGTCCGGTTAGACTGGACTTGTCTAGTTTAATAAAAAAATTGATCTTAAAAAATTAAAAGGCAAAAAATATCAGACTAATTTTTTTGAGGTAGATCAGGCAAGAGATTAAGCTCTCAAATCACAAACATATGAAATTACTTTAATAAAATTTTAATTATTTTTACTATATTTGAGTAATTTGAAATTTAAAAGTGTCATTTCCTTAATTCACATTTTATATTTCTATTGAATATAATTTTAATTTAATTTGCTACTAAATTATTATTGTAATGTACATTATACATGTTGTTAAAGTTTATTGAATGTTGTTATTATTGTTGTTGAAGTTATGAATTTGAATAATGTGATTTGTAATTGAAATATTTGTTGTTGTTAGAGATTGTTATAAATTTTTTATAATTGTAAATATTTTTATTATTTTAATTTAGTTTATGAAGATGAAGTGAATTATTACTTTTCATACAAAAAAAAAGCTAAGTGAATATAAAATTATTGAGAACAGTTTTTTAGTCTTATGAATCAAGTCTAATTTTATTAATTTTTGAGTTGCAATTAAACTAGATTGAATTATAAGTTGTTTAACCTAATTTTTTTTACTCCCTTTATTAAAAAATATAAGATATTTTTAACTAAATTGTACTATTTAATAAAGTTCTTATCTACTTTCAAATTAACTCTATCTTTTTATATTTACCCTTATTAACTATCCTATAATAAATATAAAGTCACCATCAATAGAGATACTTTTAAAAAAAATAATAATTATATTTTAAAAGATTAAAAATACTTTATATTTTTAAATATTTAACTCTTTAAAAAATATTTTACATATAAAAAAAGCCAAATTTCGAATTAAATCAAAATATAATCTTATCTAACTCTTTGTGTAACCCCATCGGACAGCAAAGAATTCATACCAAACCCGGGGAGGTAAGAGGCTGTTCTCATTTTTTTAAAGGGAGATAATAAACTAAAAAGAGGCAAAAAAAAAAAAAAAAACCTCCTAGGCTTTTCTCATTTTTTACTCTATAAATAAGGGACAGATGTTTCCGATCCTAGGCTTGAAGACGCAGCGCTCGATCTTCTTAGCCTCTTCTCTTCTCTTTCGTCCTCGGCGTCTTCCGCTTCTCAATCCAAACCTAGACCCCAATATGGTTGGACCCTCCCAACCTCCTAAGTCCACCCTCAAGTTCCTCTGTAGCTACGGCGGCAAAATCCTTCCCCGCTATCCCGACGGCAAGCTCCGTTATATCGGTGGCCATACGCGTGTCCTCTCCGTCGACCGCTCTATTCCCTTTTCCGGTTAGTTTTCTTTTAGTTTGTTGCTCTTTCTTTTAGTTACGCCCTTTTTTTTTTTTTGAGGGAGCGTCAAGTACGTTTCTGATAGAAGCGAGAACTCCGTGAATGGGATTGATCTGTTTGGAGCGATATTGAGAGAAAGCTTTTATTCTTCTTGTTGCGGTTGTTGATTCATTGTGTAATACAGAGCTGTTGGTGAAGTTGGGAGAGCTCTGTGGCTCGGCAACTGTGATACTTCGCTGTCAATTTCCCACCGAAGATCTCGATGCTTTGGTATCCATCAGCTCCGACGAGGATCTGGCGAATCTTATCGAGGAATACGATCTTGTTGCGCCGCCTTCGTCTTTAAAGATCAGAGCGTTCCTTTCGCCGCCGAAATCGTTCCAGAAAAAAACTTCTATTCCGTCCTCCTCGTCTATGTCAAAATCATCATCATCTTCATCAACATCGTCGCCGTCGTCGTCGCCTCACAATTCTACTGCTGGTAGTTGTGGATGTTCTACTTGTGGCTGTAGTCCTAGGTATTCGGTGTTGGTGACGCCGGTCGTCGATGGATGTGTACATCAGATGTTGGCGCCGATGGCGTATGACATGAGAAAATCTGCTGGGAGGAATATTCCTCTTCCTCAATATGCTTACCCGATGCAGGGTAACCCACGCCACATTAGCGTTGTGCACAGCGGGAACCACTGGCAATAGAGCCAGAGTGATCTGAATCATGGATATGATGGGAACTGTTTGGAATCTAACAGAAGCAAAACGAGCTTAAAATATTATAATTATAATTAAAACATCGTAAGATAAAGTTGGGATCTATGATGTAAAAGGGACTGTAAATCTTTAAGACGGCTTGTCCTCCTAGCTTGTGTTCCTTGGCCATTACATTAATTTCAGTCCTATTACATTTTTTGGGTGTCAAACTTGCGATGGTGAGTTCGTTTCGTTCTGTTTTGCTAGCGCCTATGTTTGCCTTTCCTTCTGGAAATTCCATATAGAAACTATTCTTTTCCTCCGACCACCCTTCAAAGTCTTGTTCCTGTTATCTTGCCTCCTTCCTCTCTACGGTTGTCACTGTGTCCTGCTATTTTTGATTTCGTAATCCTTATGCTTTTCATCCGTCGTCAGTTTAATTGCAATTTCTTCCCCAATTTTTTTTTTTTGGGACTAGTGTCCCAGTTTGATTAATTGTTTGATTGTTTGTGTGCAGGTTGAATGATTAGAATGAGGCGGCTCAATAAGGAAGCTGCAACGAATAATCCTGCTGGTCACTGATTGCATTTGACAAGCTGTGCGACTGTAAGTTTCGACATGACTACAATTTTGTTGGGATCTGTCTTCTCTATCTATGGATCTCTCTTATACTGTTGCAGAGACTGGCTGCATCATGTTCTATGGTCCATTCGTTTGTTTTTTTAAATTAAAAGTGAATTATTTCTTCCGATTATTGACCATTTTAAAGACAATAGCTTGTCATTGGTCATATAAAGAACTGTCCTTTACCCTTGTTTTCCTCTGAAGACCAGGAGGCAATCTTTAAGGAAGTATCTGTGTTACTATTACAGATATCCTTTACCCTTATTTGCATACTGTTTTGTTCTTCTATTCAGTGAATTTATACAGCTAAGTTATTGGCGTTTGAGTTCAGGTTTGGTGTTGGAAGCAGATTCAAGAACAAACATCAAATGGGGATGCTGTTCCGAATCTCATGGAATTGGGAACCAAACACTAAATTGAAGCTTTCTTAAAATGGAATGTCATAGAACATGCAAAAGTTAAAGGTGTGAACTGATCCTACAAAACTATCTCGGCACAGTTGGCGCAAGGAAGTTTGCCACAATAACTTGAATACAATAATATAGAGATTCCGAAACAAAAAAGGGTAATTTTAAAAAGGAGAAACAAAAACAAAGAACAAGATAGAAAAGCATCCCAAGACTTGGAATATAGAACTTTGATTTAAAGATATGGTTGTGGTGTGGCATCTCCAAACGGCCGGAGAGGGACAATACGTGAATACGATTTTGGTTGGAAGCAAAAGGACCCGTCCTCCCTCGCAATTCTGAAGGGCAAGATTCTGTTAGCTGTCAAGTTCTAGAAAGATACGAGATCTTCACACTCCCGAAAACCCGTACCGAACTATATTTTTAAGAGACTATAATATCAAGAAGGTCTGGAAAAATCAGAAAGTCAATTAACGTTAGATTAAAAGGTGAAAATATTCATTAAATATTTTTTAGGAGCTCCTCATGAACTTGGTATAATAAATAAAACAATTTTTATTCTGTTAAAATTGACTAAAAAAAAGGAAAGTGAATATAAGATATAAAAATATTTATAAACTTTTTCTAATAGTTTATGGTATTCTAAAGTTAACATTAATAATGCATAGGTAGCTATTAATTTTATAACATAGGCCGACAATTCCTAACCTATTTAGTATTTTTTTTAGGACTTCATAGTCAATATTACTTTATTTTAATAGATTGAAAAAAATTAAAGCTAGTAATTTAAATTAAATTTAATGAATTAGTCTGAATAAGTTTAAAAAAATTTGAGTCAAGTATAAATGTAAATAGGTTTAGCCTTAATACTTACATTTTTTATTTTTAATAAAATAAAATTAAAACTAAATAAAAATTAAAAATTTTAATTTTTTAAGATAAAAATTGAAATTGATTAAGAAGCAAAATAAAATAATATTTAATAATTTAAATATTTGAGTCAATTTGAATAAGGTTAAATCTCAATTGTTGACATCAAGTTTGATTGTATAACCTTTTCTTTATAAACAGATATTTATGTATTATTATTAATTTAAAAATATCAGAAACTTTTAAAAAAAGTTTAAAGATATTTTTGTACTTTTGTTTACTTCTTTTTTATTAGTCAATATTAATGGATGTTAGTCAAATTTAATAGAATAGGTACTGATGTACTTATTATAACAAGTTAATTGATATTTTTACACTTTTGTTTATTTAGGGATATTGGATACCTCTGAATTTTTTTTAAAAAATTAATTATTTAATTTTTGTATTTTTGATTCAGTTGTAATTCAATATCTAAACCTTGACTTGTTGTAATTAGTCTCTACAGTTTTCACTTTGTTGTAATTTAGTTCCTGCATTTTGCTTCTTGTAATTTAGTCCATATAGTTTTAATCACACTTAAATATTAATTTCTATATTTTAAAAATAAAATTATAAAGATTAAAAATATGTTAAAATTTATTACTCATGTTTTAAATTACTAAACCCTTTTAATTTTTATGAATTTTATAAATATTAAAAGTGTAAAATATTTTTTATCTTTATAATTTTATTTTTTAAAATATAAGGATTAATATTTAAGTGATTGAAATTTTAAAAATTAAATTGTAAAAGGTAAAATTCAGAAATTAAGTTACAATCAAGTTAAAATTATAAGAATTGAGTTATAACAGATTAATTTTTTTCTTCCTATTTAACCCATTAATGTTTATCACATATGAGAAGGGAGTTTAGGTTTGTTATATTCTTGCTGCCCCACACCAAATGCGATCTTTTATAGTTGGATTCCTCCATGTTTTAATTTGGTCATGTCTTTTTCAAAGAATTGGGTCTGCCGGGTTTTCAGTATGGACTTGCATAAAGGTTTTTAGACTGTGAACACTGCATGGAACGCCTTTGTAGTTCTCTCAGTGATTATGGACGGGGAAGGAAGGGTGTTGGGGGAGAGCAGGAGAAAAGCATTTGAAAAACCCTCAACCTACTATTACTTTTAGCTTGTAGACGAAGCTGATGGTATTTTTTTTTTTTTAAAAAAAAAAAAAGAAGACGAAGCTACTTGTAGTTCCAGCTCTTGATCTCTATCTTGCTCATTAATAACTCTAACCAACCTTGGTTGTGACGTGAAGGTGTCTTTGAGTATTATTATGATCGATCTATCAATTTCTTTATTTATTAATCTAGAGATAAGGTCGAATGGACCTTTGATGGTGACCCAGAGAAAGATGATCGGGCGGGAAGCTCCTTGATTTTGCTCATAGTTATCACTCTAATAAGATCTGAACTGTTTAAATTCAATTTTGATAGTCTAAATTGAAATTTTTTAATAATAAATTCATTTTAATAAAATAAATATTTAAAAATTATTTTTATTTTTATTCTGTATCTGTTAAAATAAAATTTACTTAAAATATGAAAATAATTAATATTAAACTATTTTGTCCATTGCTGATCTCCATGTTTACACTCATCATCATTAAAGTGATGAGGCACATGACCGGAACTTCATCCTTTTTATGGAAAAAAACTGGTTGAGATAATACAACACAGTATTCTTATTAAAAAAATAATAATACAATACAATATTGGTGGATGAGTGTGACAAGTGCGGCACGCAACTGGAATGAGTCCCCCACCCCTCCCCACAAAAAAAACGATTCCTACTAATTGACATCAAATCAGAAGATAATGAAAACTTGGGGAAAAGTTTCATATGGAATTCTTTTGTATTTAGTTATCACTTTTTTAACCAAAATATAATAAAGATACAAGTTTTTAGTGATAATAATATGATAGTATATTAGTATATATTTTTTTGCATATAGATTATTAGTTTTTAAAATATTTATTTATTATGTTCTAATTAGATAACTTGATATAAAAATACACAGATTAGCGTTCAATTTCAACTATAAAAAATACAGATATTGACCCTATAATTTCGGAAAAGAAATCAATGGAAATACTTCAGTCTCGGTTAAAAAAAAAAAAAAAACAGAAAATGCTAGGCACATCGTCGTCTTCCGCCCAGTAGAAGATAAGAATAAAGTGTCTCATGAACGAGAAAGAATTAATGCTTGGGCCTTTGATGGCTGCAGAGGAAAAAAAAAAAAGTTATTGCCAGGTAATAATTGATTTGTTAAGCTAGATTAGAAGAGTCTAATAATCTATTTATTCGAATCATTTTCCTTTAATTTAAATAAATTTATAATTATACATGGCACTACCATTATTTATGAAGATAAGACAAGAGTTAGTAGTATGTTTTCTGGAATATTACATGTTTAGAGTTGTTAAGGTTCTCTGTTTCTTTCACTTAATCACATGATTCTGTTACACTTTTTATTATTATTAAATAATACAAGTGTTCTAAATGATTAATTGTTGTTCTGAAATCTATGTATTTAATCAACAAACGATGGGTTAAACAATAATAGAACTTCTTATTTGTTAATGATACATTATTGAAAATTTGAAATGCCATTATGCGACAGATGTGGGCCATTTTCATGGGACTTTGCCGTGTGATTTACTCTTTTGTACCTATTTATAAGGTACTTTTAACATGTTTTATCATAAATAAAAAAAATTTTAAAATTTATTAACTATATCTAGAAATTTAATTGTTTTTTAATTTTATTCTTATTAAATATATTCTCCCTCTGTTCAAAAATATAAGGCATTTTTTTAATGAGTTTGATGTTAAAAAAATGTAAGACATTTTTAATCTTTTGAGACGTTATCATTATTATTTTTTAAAAGTACCCCTATTAATTACTAACTTTATATGAAAAGATAGGGTTAGTTTAAAAGTAGGTAACTACTTTATTGGAGTGAGATTTGATTAAAAATGCCTTATATTTTTGAATAAGAAGAATATATTTTAATAATGCATTTTCTCTCTCCAACATTCAATAGATGTCAAATGAGAAAATTTATAATGAAAATTTAATAAAATGATTTATAGATAGAATTAAAATTTTTTTTTCTCTCTTCCTAATAAATAGAACCAGAAGAAGTATAGAATTGATAATATGGGTTGAGTTAAAGCAAAATTGTGGCCAATTAGGGTTGCACTGTATAATTTAAATTTGCTATAAGTCGGTAGATTGATAGAAATATAACATATGCAAGATTAGGCTATACTAACTTATAACCCACTATGGGCTAACCCAAGGGGTCACGAGCTAACCCATATTACCAGCTCTTACTGGTCTGGGTTTTAAAAAAAGAAAACCAAGATTTTACCGAACAAAGGTAGATTTTACCGAACAATGGGCAATTTTTCCTGTGCGGGCTTTAATGGCTTGTTGGGCCTCGTACAACACCGTGGTGTTTTTTTTTTGGATAAAAAACACCATGGTTGTTGGAAGTGAGTACGGGCTTGGTGAATATAAGTGGGCTCCACTCGTTTTCATCCGGACCATCCCTGTAAGGGACAACGGGTATTGCTAAGTTTTTTTTTTTTTTGGACCAGCTGATTTCTAAGTTTAAGAAGGGTTTAAATTTGTTTTTTTATAAAAAAAGGGAAAACAAATTGTTCAGGAGAAAATTTTCAAGTATTAATTTTACTTGAAATAAGTTATTGTTGCCAAAACTAGCTATTATGCATCTTTCTCAAATGAGGGCTGGTTGTAAGTGACCCTTGACGAGTGTGGATTTATGGGGTGTGTTTTCTGGTTCTACCTTATGGGATAAGTTCTTGTTACAAAGATTTAATTTTAATTTTTAAAAAATTCAATTCTAGAGCTTTAAAAATATAATTGTACTAGGATTTTTAATATGAACTTCACGAGGCTAAGATTTTCACAAGAAAATCTTTTCAAAATTTTCTATCCATTTTTGTGCAAAAAAAAGTAAACAGAAAATATTGAAAAACTTGTCATTAACAGTATTATTGTGATTTTTGCTTTAATTGCGTTTTGAAAACAAAATAGTCAAGCATTAGAATTTTTTTGCCTAATTTTAGAAAACAAACAAAACTACTCTCATATATGAAAACAAAACTGATTTGGCAATAGGTTATTTCGCCAGAATACTTCTCCCTTTGGGTCATGGTTCCATTTGTACTGCAAAGAAGAAATTTCTGGAAAATGAACTTTTCTGGAAAGATTAACCCACCATATGATCACATGCTACTGGATAAACATAATAAATAAAATAATATGTTTGAATAATTATCTAGTTATCTTCCACACCAAACTTGATTGAAAATTAGAGATAAAATCATAAAATAGAGTAAATATCTTTGATATATAGAGGTTAAATAATATAAAAAATTAAAGAAAAAATAATTTCAGAAAAAAAGAGCATTTTACTCCAAATTAATAGATTTTATTTTATATAATATAATGGTAATTATTTTTTGGGAGAATGAAAAATAAGAATTTTGTAAGAATATTAATTTCAAATTAGAATTTTTCAACACTAATATTTTCAAATTTCAATATTTCTTCTACCATATTGCAGTACTAAAATTTTTAATTTAACATTATTGTTTTTATAAGATCCTTATAATTGCAATTTCTCCAAAAATATATTTTTTTGCCATTAAAATATCATTTAATTATTGAAAACAACTTACATGGTTTTAAATAAAAAAACAAGGTATTGAAAGCTTTGAACCACTAAGATAATGCTTTTAAGTTGTGTTTTAACTATGATTGAATTGAGATCAACATCATAATTAAAATAATAAAATTTAACTAAAGTACATAAAAATATTTATCTATAAACATGATAAGAGTAATATTTAAATAATAAAAATATTAATTTATAAGTAAAGAAAAAATTCATGAATAAATCACATATAATCCAACAAAACATAATTACTTAAGTGCAATCGATAAGTTACTACTTTTGCTTTATTTTTTAAAGTCAAAATAATGTTGTTTTACACTTAGGAAGAAGAGAGGAAAAAATAAAGTCCAACTCGATCAATCACATATTCACATCCAAAACGCCTTATTAAACTTGTGAAATAATTCACTTATTTGACTTACTGACTGGAGTTAGGTTTGAATAGCAAGATAAAAACAACAGCAACTAATATGAACGTACTCATGAGATTGACAATAAGTCAACAGCATAGAATTAAAGAGCATGAACAGCATCAATTGTCCATAGAGATAGCAGCAACTTGACATACGCTATATCAGATCATGTAAAATTAGTGCCACGTAAGCAAATTAAACCACAGGACTGATTTAGGCAATCTCAGGCGAAGTTGGTGAATCTCCAGTTCTCCACAAACATCTCCATCATGCAAACGTATTAATAGGGTTGGTGGGACAAGTGCCTCTCCTTTAACATTCAACTTCTTATAATGACGTTGACGCAATATCCAAACTTTTCACTATTAATTAATTACAAATTACAGCATGTTGCTTTTACTTTTTCTGGCTGAAAAAAAATACTACAAACTATAATCACGGGCCAAAAAGAAAGAAAAAAAAAACAATTAACAGCAGTTAGAATTAATTTTACAACGGTTGAAAAAATAATGATGTTGAAAGTTAAGCACTTTCCATGTTAGTCCAACCGCTGCGGTAAATTATTTCTACAGCGGCTACAAAACCATCGTCAAAAGATGTTAAATAATTCAAAAACATTAGTATGAAGCTTTCATCAGTTGCAGGTCAAAAAAAAACAAAAAGAAAAAAAAAACTTTCATCGGTTGGAAGGTTTCAACACCTGTTGTATTCATTCAACATTGATTGATTATAACTGATGTTGAAAGTATCTTTTTTTTTTTTTATATTGCATTAACTTCTACATATTTTCCCATCCTGTAATGAAAAATGCAATTCATTTATAGTACATAATAATTATAACCAACTAGAACAGTTCAATCACATAATAACAATCTTAATTCAATAAAACTATAAAAAAATTAAGATTAATGATTATTTTTATTTCTAAACAATACACAAATATTTAGAAATGATTCGAAATTTAATTATAAATTATTTATATCTCTCATTTATTTGATCTTTAAATGAAGAAGAAGGTTGAAATTACTATTCACGAAATAGAAGAATGAGACATGTTTACTTGTCCAAAATATAATTTAACTTATAAAAATTAATAACCAATATATTAATATATCAATCGATATATACTACCAATGTTCAATGTATAAAATACATTCATAAGACATGAACATTTTTCTATTTTGTTTCACGAGATTTTATATGATGCATGGAAAATGTTCTTTATTTTAGGCATGAGAAAATGGGTCATATTTCAAAATAAAATGACTATAACTTCCTAGAAGAATTAATTAAGTAATTGTAATTGTAATTGGGGTTAATGAACCTCTTAAATCCTAAATTATTACTTGAATAATATTTTATATCTTGAACTCTTAAAATAAGCATCATGTACCCTAAATTATTACTTGAATAGCCAATTACCTTTGTTGTTAATTTATATATAATCGCTGTTACTTTTGATTTTGTGAGGCTCAGTCAAGGGTTAATGTGACACTAATCCCCTCTTGACATAGGTGGACTATATAGCTGTTAACATTGTGCGGATAAATGGGCAACAGTAATTTGCTTTGAATTTACAAGTTGAGGTGAGTTTTTGCTCATTTTAAGAATTTAGGATTCAACATGTTATTTGAGTAATAGTTTAAAATCTAAGATGCTCATTAACCCTTGTAATTGTATTAACTAACACATCACTCATCATAAATATTTTTACCATAAATTATATACTTTTCAATTAGGGTACTGCAAATCAATGATTGTCATTAAATTGGTTAAAACACTAATACAAAGGTTAATTGTTAAAGCTATTATTGTCAAACTTACAAGTTTTGAGTTTAATGTTTTTATATTTTTAACTTATAAAATCGTATCAACTCACTTACAGATTTAAATTAGATGCAAATTTAATTAAATTTGTAAGTTAACTTTACAAGTTTATTGTTTTTATGTTTTTAGTTTACAAAATTGTGTTAACTTATTTATAAACTTATATTAAATATAAATTCAGTTAAACTCACAATTTTTTTTAATTAAGCAAGTTAAATATATACTATAAAACTTTATTAAAAGAGAAATAAAATTCATAAAACAAAAGCTATTATTATTAAAAAAGAAAACAAAAAAAAAATTTTTATTTTGAATATAATAGTCTATCCATAGTTAGATTCAATTTCAATAATTTGTATTAAAATATATTTAAATTAAATTATAATTATATTTTATATTTTAATTATTTAATTACATATTTGTAATTATTATTTATTAACAAAAGATGAGTTTACCTTTTCCAGTTTACATCTCGTAATGAGTTTACTTAAACTGGCCTGCTTAACATCCCTAATTAAAAGTTAAAACCTAATCAAGTCATATTAGACAGATCATAAAAGAATCATTTCATTGAAACAAAATCAAGACCACTAATTTACTAAAGTCTCAGTACCCCAATGTTTTCCACTCGTATACAGTGTAGTAGTGAAGTGACCCCCGGCACGTGAAGTTAGTTTCATGGACGTCGCCGATTAAGCCCAATCCATCAGTGTTGGTTCATCCCATCAGAATCTTTACCAAAATCAGCGGCTTTTGGTTGTGTTGTGCGCAACTGTGGTATCGCGCACCCTGTAATTCTGCTTTCTAGCATCTTCCAAGTTCTACCTAATCCCTGTTCTCTTTCTCATCTTATCAACTTCTGCCAACTTCTCTTTCATCCCTTGCCTATTTCATCTTCTTCTACGCTTTTCTGGCTTTTTCTCGGTGGAAATGGATCCCACCCAAATAATTTTCCCATTCTCTGCTATGCCTTGCACCAGTTGGACCCGCACGCCAGTTCTCCGCTTCCCACGGAGCTACATCGAACTCTTCTGACTCAGTTCCCTCACTTGACCAACCCCAAAGTCTTGGCGGCAATGACCCGAGTCATCCCTGAGCTTCAAATCACGCAGACTCTGTCTCTTCTACGAACCCTGGGTCCTCGTCCTGATCCTTCTGCGGTTGCTTTCGCGCGGCTGAAGATCGCGGAGATTCGCCGCAAGCTTGAAGAAACAGAGGGGTTGAGAGAGGGTGATGAGAAAGAGATGCAGATTTATGAGGCAATGGTGAGGTTGGAGGACATGCACGACGAGTATGCGAAACAGTTGAGGGGAGCGGAAGAGAGGTTAGTTGGGGTTTATTGGTCAGTTGTGACAAAAGAATCGGAGAAAGGGGGTGAGGAGGAGGAGGCGAATGCAGAAGTCATTGAAATTTTGAGGAAAGCGGAGATAGAGGAAGTGGAGAGGGTTCAGCTTTCTGGGCGGCAGCTAAGGCTCCTTCTGAGGCGTTTGGCAAGACTCCAGGGCTGGTTGTGCTTGATTTGTCTCGCAATCAGCTGAAGGTGATATTATTTTTCTTTTGACTTCTCTCGCTCTTAAAACATATTGAGGCTTACTTATTTCCGCTCTAGTTTTGAGTTTGGGAAGTAAAACATCTTTCACCATGGAGTTTTCCACGTATTTATTAGTTTTTGAAGCTAAGTTTCTGCTGGATGAAGCCATAAACATAAGCAATAACTAATGAATTGATAATGGAAAGGAAAGGAATCAGTGAATCACCAACAGAGATGACACCTGCTAGGATTGAGTTATCTGTGACAGGGACGTTTTTGTGATTTAATTAAGAGTATGAAGTAAAATGTTTGAAGGCAAGTACGTGGAATCCTGTTGGCATTATCTGATCTGCTTAAAGAGGGAGAAAAACTGACGATTGGAATCATGTAGAACTACAGCGATGCGGAATGAAGGGGAAGGGATGTAGAATTTCAAATCTGAGATTTTCTTATATTCATATTTCAATCAACCTACACGTATTTTTTTTTTCCTCCCTTCCCTTCCATTTCATCCCTTCAAACTTATTCAAAGGGGAAAATGTCGGATTTATGCCCTTTCCTTTCCCTTCCATTCTCCTCAAATCAAACATACCTGTTCCAAATGCTTCTCTTCTGCATTAAGTTTCTTTCCTCCTCTCATAATTGATATTTTCCTGACGCTAATACAGAGGAAAACTTTTTTTTTTTTTGGGTTGCTAGTGTTTACTTGTTTTTCATGTGCCAGTGCTTATGGACTATTCTGATTTTCCATGTAATGGAACAATATGGCACTGAGTCTTTTATGATGCGAAGGTTTCAATGTTAAATAAATATTATGGTGGCTGGGATTTACTGTACTAGTTGGAAGTCACAGATTGATGATCATATACTGTTGTTTGTAGTCAATCAAATCCAATTTTTCCTGTTTAGGACTTCGTACATCAAATTGAATTAGTCAATGGTATTCATATATGTACTTTAATCTATATATCTTAGACAAAAACTTTTTTCTCTCACGATTACAGAAGAGTCAGCTTTCCTAATTACTGGTATATTAAGGAAGGTGGAAGGGGGCGGGGACAAAGCATGCTTGTTACCTGTTAGTACTGGTTGATAATAGAACTGTTTTTTGATTTAACTTATAATTGTTTGATGTTTGATGTTTGATGTTTTCTGTTTTCATATCTTAAAAACAGATGATCCCTGACTCATTGGCAGGTCTGCAAAAACTTGAAGAGCTTGATGTTTCATCGAATCTTTTAGAATCACTACCAGATTCAATTGGATTGCTGCTCAATCTTAGGGTCCTCAATGTGTCTGGAAACAAGCTACGTGTACTTCCTGAATCCATTGCACATTGCAAGTATGTTTGCATTCTTTCCGTGCTAACTTTTCAATCTAATTAGCATTGGCAGCATGGTTATCAAAATTGTACAGTTCACACTTTGTACACTTTGTAACGAGTTAGAACTAACGTGTATCATTGGTTGTATCATAAGCAGTCTTGAATTGTCAACGAATCATGCTGTTTGAGTCAGTATGGTAGAATGACATGATTCTATGAGAAAAAGCAAGAAAGCAATGAGGTGGTGAGGCATGTTAAGAGTTGTTGCCTCTTAGGAAGAGAGCATATATTGAGATTATTTCAAGAATTAATTGTGACAGATTTATGATTGGTGAACTTATTTACGAGTTATGTTTAAGTAAATTTCTTAACTATTGCGTTAGGCTTACTGCCTTAAGTGTTTTATGCCCGTGCACATACACTCTATATGTCATACGTTATATTCATGTTATTTTTCATATATTGTTGATTCTTAGAATTCAATAATTTTTACAACCTACAGTTTTGAAATATAGTTCCTGCTTCAGGATGCGTCACGATTTGATAACTATGGTTGTCAGCATACCTTGTGCTTTTTTTTTTTTTAATACGAGAAAGAGCAAATTAGACTACCATTGTACTGCGAGTCCTAAAGCCGTTACAATTCTTCATAAAAATAGGAGATAACTCTTGAGGATCCTGGGGAACCATGTGAAATCCTGTAAGAGTCGAGAGTTCCTTTTCAGCCACGACCCAGGAAACTTGTGCTATTTTTATGAAACTGGAGTGTTTTTCAACTTTTTTACTGTTAGTTCCTTGATTGGAACATGACAACAAATACTTAAGAAGTTTTATGTTAGATTTGTTGTCTCTGCTCCTGTCAGACTTGTGCTTTTATGTAAATGTAGGTCACTTGTTGAACTGGATGCTAGCTTTAACAACCTAATGTGCCTGCCAACAAACATGGGCTATGGGCTTACCAATCTCGAGAGGCTTTCGATCCATTTGAACAAGATTCGACTTCTTCCCTCATCTATTGGTGAAATGAGGTCTCTTAGATATCTTGATGCTCATTTCAATGAGCTGTGTGGCCTCCCACAAGCAATTGGAAGACTGACAAACCTTGAATATCTAAACATTAGCAGTAATTTCAGCGATTTGACTGAGCTTCCTGAAACCATCTGTGATCTAATTAACCTGAGGGAACTCGACCTCAGCAACAACCAGATTCGAGTGCTTCCATACGCATTTGGCAGGCTTGAAAATTTAACAAAGCTCAACCTAGACCAGAATCCACTCGAAATCCCTCCGCCGGAGGTTGTAAGACAAGGGGTTGAGGCTGTGAAGGACTTTATGACTAAGAGGTGGCTTGAGATCGTTGCAGAAGAAGAACAGAAAACCATGGCTGAAACAAAGAAACAGCAACTGCAAGCACAGGGCGGATTGATGGCTTGGGGTACCTCATTGTTGAATGTTGTTTCTGGGGTTTCTGAAAGTGTTGCAGGATATCTGGCTCCTAGAAAAGCCTCAAGAGACCCCTGGTTGGATCAGCAGTTGTGATAATGTGATATGAATAAGGGTAATGCCACGGAGAGCTTGATCGTCCCGTAGCAAAATCCTATTATGCTATTAACATTTATGGATTAACTCACCAGTTTATGACTTCTGTACATATTGTTGCCTTGTGTTTGTGGGATGATGTCATCCAGAGAGCTCTAGGTCTCTCTGGATCAGTATCTCAATGCATGTGATAACACCTTGTGGATGTGATATGAATCAATAGAACATGGTCTTTCAGAGTGATCTGTATTACGTTAGGTTGTGATATGAATCAATAGAACATACTCTTTCACAGTGATTTGTATTACGTAATGGTTGTGATATGAATCAATAGAAAACACTCTTTCACAGTGATCTGTATTACATGATTTGCATCTGCTTTATCAATTGATTGATTATTGTTCATCACCCGCCTCATGGCAAGCCATCGAAGAGAACAGACCATCTAACAACTCAACAAACTAGAAACTAGCTCAGACGCAAACGTATGTGTGCATGCACATGAAAAGGGGTCTAATTAAAGATATCTGGTTAGTGTTCTTTTGTTTTTTTTTTTTTTTTACATTATAGTAGAAAAACAGCGTTTCCAACACAAATATTATGGTAGTTGGTTCTATTTTATGATTAAAATATACTTTGTCTTCATTAAAAAATATAAGGTATTTTTTGAAGAGTTAAAAGTTTAAAAATGTAAGGTATTTTTACTCTTTTGAAATGTAATCATTTTTTTTTCGAAAGTGCCCATAGTGATAATGATTTTATATTTATTATAAGGTGTTTACTATGGGTAAATATGAAAAAATAGGATTAGTTGAAAAGTAGGTAACTATTTTATTGAAGAGTGAGATTCGGTTAAAAATGTCTTATATTTTTAAACGGAGGGAGTAGTAGTTATACAGAGGAATAATTTCATAATTATTTAATTGAGTCATGTACTTTGTTTCTGAATCAATACTGAAAATCATAACATTAACGAAAAAGAACAAACAGGCCATGTTCTTCATCAACCAGTTGTATACTTTTTATGTCTCAGTTGAAACTTAAATATTTATTATGTTTTGACTTTTGATCACAAACTAAATAATTTAAATTTAAACATTTTCAGAAGACCTCAGAAGAAGGAATGGAGTGTTGGAGAAGGCAGAAGAGGTCACGAAACCATTCCTGAGGCTGAGATTCAATCAATACAACTCCCACGCCTCCAGAATGTTCCCACAACTTCTCTCCTGTCTATTCCTTTTCCCAGGTAAATTAAATTAATTTAAAAATAAAAAGCAGTAAAACACACATGCGTTTGCCGGGAGTCGAACCCGGGTCTATTGCTTGGAAGGCAATTATCCTAACCGTTGGACTACAAACGCGTTGGTGAGATTGTTGACAAAAAATATATTCCTAATCTATATTAATGGCCCTAGCAAAATTTGAATTTTAATTGGGTATAATAGATTATGAAAATAATTAATTAAGTGATAAATTTTAATTATAATTAATTATATTATAACGCAATCTGTTTGGATACTACTTTTTAAAATTAATTTTAACAGAATTAAAAATATTTGGATAATTTAATTAGAATCAATTTTAGCGATACAAATTACTATATAATTTATTTTTTAAATACCAAACATCAATTATTTGAGATACATTTTTATTAAGAAAAAAAAGAGAAAAAAAGAGAGTTTAATTTTATTTTTATTAATTATGTGTTTTTTTGTAATTTTTTGTGGGCCTTTCTTTGTAATTTCCCCAACTTTTTTTGAAAAAATTTTGGTAGAAGCTCAGATCGTTAGCTTTTCAAAATAATCGATTTTAACCAAAAAA